TTGTGCACAGGGTCATCTGTATTGTCACAGTTTAGGTTTGAAAAGGATGCATCTGCCATTTCTCAATACCATTTGGCCACGCTGAGGCTCAAAGCAAGAGGTCTTGGAGGGAAGCTCGGTCACCTTGACTAGCGCTGCTTAAAGTGTGCCTTGAGATCAAGAGTGGCCCTGGAGAAGTTTCTGAGTCCCTGGTCCTTCTGCAGAGCATCTGATGCAGGGTGGTTGTGGTGATAGCCTCATATTTTCCCTCTTGAGTAGTGACACAACACCTGGGAAATTCTGTCCCACACGCCGGGTCTCCAAAGCCTATCATCATTTCAACATCCTCCCCTCTTCTTGGTGCCTCGATTCCCTCTAATTGATCTTCTCATTTCCTTTCTCTAGCCCAGAGGGTTTTGTATCTGCACTTACAACAAGCATGGAAAGTGATCTGTCACTAATTCCCATGAAGTGGTCCACAGTGGATGATTAACTTAATAAAATTCACAATTCCACTTTATATGAATCCAGCTCATTATATTTTTTAATTTTTAATTTTTTGTTTGGTGTTTGAATGTTACTGGAGATTAAACCCGGAGGCCCTACATCAGTTGCATACCCTACCACGGAACCACATCCCTAGCCTGTAACAACTCATTATATTTAGAATATTCTTGAAGGAGAAAAAAAGTATTCAAGTGAGTCAGCCTGAGGGGATTTTGCATAGCATATAGCCTATGTGTTCCATATCCACTGGCACCCAAAAAAGTTGCTGATGCACATAGATACAAAAGTCAAACTGGAGGCCCAAACTAATTGCAGCATCTTGCAGCTGGCACTCTTCTGGAACATGTGTTATTTTAGCCAACATTTCTAACTGGGGGCCCATTGTTCTTCTAGAAAGGGAAACGTTTTGTGTTGTGGGATTACTTTTTGCATGGAGGACTTCTGGATCCTGCCCACTAAATACTCTAGGCACTTCATAGTCAATCAAAAGGTGGCAATCAAAATGACCCCATAGCTGTTCCTCTAAAGCTTAGAGCAAGCTAGCATGTTTCCCATTGCTTTTAGATAGTCTTCACAAAAGTTACCAGTGTAAACTCTCTGAAAAATAGACCTAGTGGTGTCACTCTCAGACACCTAAAATTCTTCTGTGAAATCCATTATTTTCAAATAACATGCAGGCTTCATCCGAGCTTTCAGTCACTTATTCCTGCAGAACCTCCCTATCCATTCTGTACTCTAGTATGTGAATTTCCCTTCAAACCCCAAATTCCCAAACTGTAGTTCATCCCTGTGAGAGTCCCTATGTGTGCTGTGATTACCATTAATGAATAAAGAAGCTGCCTGGTCATGTAAATAGGGCAGAACTTAGGTAGGTGGGGACGACAGAACTGGATTCTGGGAGAAAGAAGGCAGAGTCAGAGACACCATGGATCCACAGCCGGAGATAGATGTAGCTTAGGAGCTGTGGTGGCACAGTACACCATGGTGGGATCACATGAGGACCTGTTTACTCCATGGTGGCCAGGAAGCTGACAGAAACAGAGGGAGAAAGAGGGGAAAGGAAAGACTGAAGGAGTGGGAGAGAACACACACACATACATAGCTGGAGAGAGAGGTAGGGGGAGAGAGAGAGAGAGAGAGAGAGAGAGAGAGAGAGAGAGAGAGAGAGAGAGAGAGAGAGAGAGAGAGAAGGTCCAGTTTCCCGATATCTTTTTCATTACAGAGTCTCTAAGGTCCTTCTGCCAGGTCTTACCCCCTAAAAGTTTAGTAGTTCCTTCCTAGTGAAACAAAGGTTCTTTCCATTAAGCAATAAGGCAATATTACCTTGCACCAGCACCAAATGCTGACAACTAAGCTATTAAAACATAGACCTTTGTGGGACACTTTACATAGATTTCTCCTATATCTGTCTCTCAAAGGCTCTTTTCTATCCCATTATCCAAAATGCTGTCAATCCTTTACAAGAATCCAAATAACTGGAATAATCCAAGCCTTTTTTAAGAGACCAAGTCCAAGGTCTGCTCCAAGAGTCAAGACAAACTATTAGTTGTAAGCCCCATAAAACAATTAATATAGTTTTGTCTTGCAATGGTAATATGTAACCAAAATTGGAGTAATAGGGGCATGGGAAGGATCAGACCAAAGTGAGGTTAAAACCCAGCAGGACACACAACAAATTCTAAGTCTCCATGTCCAGTCGATGTAATAGGAGGAGCGGGTTGCTTCTCGTCCCAGCCACCTGGCTGGCTATCTTACACCCGAAATAATCACATAGAAACTGTATTCATTTGAACACTGCCTGGCCCATTAGCTCTAACTTATTGTTGGTTAATTCTTACATCTTAATTTAACCCTTTTCTACTAATCTGTGTATTGCCACCTGACTGTGGCTTACTGGCAAGATTCTAATCAGTGTTGGTCTCAAGCAGGAGATCCATGGTGTCTGCCACTCTGCCCTTCTTCCCAGAATTCAGTTCTGTCTACTCCACCTACCTAAGTTCTGTCCTATCAACTAGGCCAAGGCAGTTTCTTTATTCATTATAGAATGAAAGCAACATACAAACAGTAGGAACTCCTATACCATTTCCCCCTTTTTGTTTAGACAAAAATGAAGGTTTTAACTTTAACATAGTAAAATTACATATAACAAAATCGTTATCAAATGGATTCTTGAGGGCTTGGGAAATCTTACCCTGTAGTCTTTTTGACTATAATACACATACACGGCTCTTGGCAGGCCTGCCACATTTCACATCTCTAACAAACTGCCTGTGCTATCTCTACTTCAGTTTTTGTTCCATATTCATGCAAAATTCTAGCATTGTTAGTTTCAACACTATCATACAATGTCTAGCCTCTCAGACTTTTAGAAAAACAATCTCTGTGGAAGTTTCCATGACATGATGACTCTTGCATTTTGTATGGCTGCAAAACCAGGTTTGCTTGGATGATATGAGGCTCGCTGTCAAAGCAAGTCATGCCTGGCAAGCGTGAACCACAACAGAAGTGGTTTCAGTGTGCCCAGAGAATTAAATGTGGGAAAACAAACGCCAAGGATAATTCAAGAGTGACTCTGAGCAAACACGTCATCCAAGGCTCTCTTTTCAGAGAAATTTCACTGAAGTTAGATAACAGTGTTATACCTTTGAGTCTGCAATGCGTAGGACCTTGATAACTCCTAAAATGCCTTCAAGGTATGGCTCTCATCATCCTGGTACAAACCGGCTTCATTATAACAGCTCTAGTCTCCTTAGCATGCACATCATCCTCCATTAGAACTTTATACAAACTCCTTTTCAGACCAAAGGGCGAGTTTTAGGAATCTTTCTGTTTTCTTGCTGTTTTAACTCTCATTGAAAATCTAATTAAAATTGTCAAGCGACTACTCTTTCACCAAGGCCTGCATTAGATACTGTCTTGACATCTCCAACTGAACGATTAGTCCATTTCCTTTAAATTTGGATTCCCACATAGTCTGAGGGCATGGACAAAATGAACTCAATTTCTTATCATGGTGTAAGGAAGGTGGCTTGTGGTCTAATTTGCAGTAGAGTTCTTATTTCTATATGTGACCATAGCAGTAGAAAATTAACTCTGTATATTCCTAGTAATATTCTAGTCTTCTGAGCCCTTGCCGTTTATGGACTGTGAAACTTTCTCTTATAGTTCTATACTTTCTCTAGCTGGTTTCTCTGAAATGTTCCAAATCCCTCTTGCAAATCAATTCTGAAGGTTTCTGAACCATACCATCATATAGTAGTGTTACATTAATGGCCCCACTCATGATACCAACCAGTTTTTGTCAGTATAGGGGAGTAAACCTTAAGTATTGTATGTGATAGGGAAGCATTCTATTCCTGAGCTATACTACCCTTTTGTTTTTTATTCTTTCTCAACTTTAAATTGATCAGGCAGGCTTTGTACTCAACATCCTTCCAGATCAAACTCTTGAGTAGCTGGGATTATACGTGTTCACCACCAAGCCCAATTTACCAAGTTTCTGTTTTATCTTTATCCCACTACTTCAAATACCTGAGATAAATCAATGTATAAGGATACTTTAAAATGATAGCATAATTTTGAAGAGTTTTCATATCAAAACAAGGAGGGTGAGGGGTTAGACTGGTGAGTCTATATCTATCATAGCATACTGATCAATATTTCCAGACCCCCACCCCCAATCAAGAAAGCACCAAGATTATCTCAAGTTTCTTATGGGACATCTATAACATTATCTGAAATGTCTGTCAAGTCTGTAATAGGGCATAATCTATATTTATGAAGAAGGAAGAATAGTCTTACATAACTTTCAGTGGTGGAAAATGTCAGCACAAGTCAGGAAAGAGGGATTGAGGTTGGAACAAATTCTAGACCTCAATTTAGCAATTCTGCTCTAATAATAATAGTAAAGGGATACTAAACTGCCTACAACCACATGCATATTTCTCTCTAATGGTTTCACTACCTGTTATTAAATTATTTTAATACTGTGTTCTGAAAACAAAAACTCTGCTGAAAATGTATTTGGATATTGACAAAAAGAACTTTGACAATAGTTGTGTGTTCAAAATAGCAATTAAAAAAAACCCTGAATTAATCTATGATAACTTCCATGTCTCAACATTCTTAGAGATAATTTGGAACCATGTGACTAAGTTCCAGGTGATGGGCTCAGTCTTAGTGAAGGGTACTATTCAAAGTCTGGATCATACAAGTTTGTACTTGTATGCATCTGAGGTCTCTCTTTTCTATCTGTGTCATCACAAAGCAGAAGATCTCTGGCTTCTGGAAGGAGTTTGAATTGTGATTCATTGATAATTCTGACTCATCTGGAATCTGATTGAGCAAAGATAAATACATACTGTTTTAGCTTTTGGTTGGTAAGCTGCTCATCACAATGGTTTGTGGTCACAGCTCTGTTAAGCTGACCTCATGAAATGGGTCCCTAGTGCTGGGAAGATATGGTAGAAAATACTAGGATGTTTCTCATCTTTATCTTCTGTTCTTCCTCGTAGAGACTTCCAGAATGAACTGTAAAAGTACATCTTGGGTTGGAATTGGATTGTTCATTGATTGTTCTGGTGCCCATATGCTGATCTGCAAGCTTGTCTGCATGGTCTGCAGATGAATATGATTAAGATTTGCAGGTGGGTATCATGACGGTATTTCTCCTTATGGGAATTAATTCTCAGAAGTCATTGAAATGTATGAGAAATAAGTCTGCATGTTTCCGTAGCTCAGGGTAAGTGCCATTTCTCCAGCCCCTACAAAAATGATCTTGAATCCTTTTCTTAGGTACTGGGCATTTGTTAAGTTCCAAGACTGGAATACTTTAAGTCTACAAGGATATTAAGTTAACAGATACAGTTAAGGGATAAATCTTATATCCGTCAATTTGTTTGTGCAAGCTCTAACCCTCAAACTTGAGTCATTTGACTGTATTTGAGAACAGGACCTCTCAGAGACAATTGAGATAAAATGAGGCTATGACTTTAATCCTACAGGCCTGGTATCCACACAGGAAGAAGAGGAGATAGCAAGGGTGTGTAAAGAAGGAGAAAGGTCACGTGAAGACAAATTGAGAAGGAAACCATATGCCTGCAAGCTGAGGACAGAGATCTAAGGAGAAACCAGACATACCAACCCTCTCTTCTCAAATTCTATAGACTCTAGAACTGCGTAAACATGAATTTCTGTTGTGTTATCACCTAGTCTTTGGATTCTGAGATAGTGACCCCCACAAACTCATGCTGTAATGCTCAGATTAATAGCAGTAGCATGAAGACATTTTTCTATCTTCCATTTTTGCCCAGTCAACTCCCCACACACAGAAAGACCAAATCATCCTTAGCCTGCTCTCAAAATCCTCAATATGGTAATGATACATTCTGCTACAACAAACTGACTGTTTCAAATGGTAGCTTTCTGTCCATTGTCTGTGAAACCCCATGTGTACCTAGGACAAGAAAGAAGTGATATCACTTCAGAAAACTAGAAATGATAAAATTCTGAGAATGTCTGCTAAACAATCAATATTATGCATACAAAAATAGTCTTTAAGATCTAAACTTCCTCATGCATATTTTAGGACAGCATAAGAAGTTCATTTTTGTTTCTCAATAACATTAAATATTACACTTTTGAAAAGCAAATGATTTTTAAGCTGATAGTTTAATGGGTCATCTTTTTTAATATCGCTCATCTATATCAAGAAATATCAGATCCCCTCAACTGAATGCATATTAATGAACTTTAAATGATTAACAAGGCACTTTTACTCCTAATAATCATTTTAAAGTTTGAGACACTAATTCTGAAAACATACAAAAAATATTTTGTTTAATATCGAGAAAAGATTAGTTAGAAAATAATATGAGTCATAAAATGACTAATGTGATTATCTGGCAAAATTTAACATAATTAAGTTTGGAAGAGGTGAGTGTTTAGAAGGAAAAGATAACTGAACATCACTAGATACCTGAGCCTGTAGATCAGGGCAAGCAAGCCATTTATTATGGCGAAATCTCACTGCAATCAGTTAAGCTTTGTTCAGATAAGCTTTTATTGTCAATGGCTGCTTTCAAGCTATCGATGAAGAGCTGGGTGGTATCTACAGAGACCACGGGCATCATAGAGCCTAAAGTATTTACTATCTGACCCTTTGTAGAAAGGAAAAAGTTTGCCTAGCCCTTCTCTAATCACTCAAATCAAAATAAATACACAAATGGCATAGCAAGGAATTTTAGCTCACTCATTTCCCAAACTGTCTTCCTGGATGTATCTTGGGAGAGCGGAGTGTAGACCAGCTAGACCACGAACTTGATCCACGGTGCTCACTCTCTCTACTTCTAATCATTTCTTGTGATTGATTTAAAATATGAGGAAAACCACAGCTGGTGGTTGCTAAGAGTTCAGTATGCACCTATGTGATGGTTATCCTTCCCTGCAAACTTTGATTAGATTGAGAGATGCCTATGGAATTAATGAAGCACTGCTCTAAGTATGACTCTGACGGCATGTTTGGAGATGATTAGATCATGAGTGCTCTGAAGTGATTTCTTGGCAGAGTAAAAAAAAATATTACTGGGAAGTGGTAAAAGGTGGGGGGTAATTGGAGGAAGCAGGTTACTGGGAAACATGTCCTTGGAAGGTCTATTTTGCAGCGGCCTCTTCCTTTGCTCCTTATTCTGGGCTTCCTAGCTGACATGATATGAAATGTTTGGCTCCATCAACGCTCTAAATGTCATGATGACACTAACACCTCTGAGACCCGGAATCAAAACAGATATTTCATGCCTTGAGTTTTATCTCAGTGAAAATACAAGTGACCAACACACCTGCCAGTCTGTCTCAGTCCACTCTTTGCACTGCACTTCACTGGCATGGCATCTAAGGGTGCTGATTGGCCTTGAGCTGCTCTCCTTTATGCGTCGGAGATGGAGATCAAGTTCAGGTGCCGGGGATCCTCTCCCTTGCCCATCAGTGTTTGAACAGCTCCCACTTTTCCTTTAGCCACGCCAATGACAACATCTACACGAATAAAACCATAAAACAGCTGAATCATCTGCAGAAATTTAGAAGTCCTGACTAAAATATTATGCATTCTATCCTGCCTACACTAAGAGCGCAAGTATTTGTAAGTAAATATTGTGTATACATGCTACCTACTCAGATTTTTAAAATTATATTTTATTTATTCTTTGAGAATTTCATACATATATGTTGTGCATTCTGATCATATTCTCTCCCTAGTCCCCTTCTCCAAGCTCTTCTCATAGCGCCCTGTTATGTCCTCCTCCCAACTGGACTTTTTTGTAAAGCACACTGAGCCCAATTACTGCTGCCCATATGTGCATGGGTGTAAGGCCAACCACTAGTGCATGGGCAACCTACCAAAGACCACATCTCTGAAGAGAAAGAACTCTCCTTCCTCCAGCAACCATCAATGAGAATAGCTCCTCAGCTAGAGGCTGGGCCTATGAGTTCAAAGCTGGAATTTTGATTGGCTTGATCCTTGGCAACCAGGACTCCTGTGAGTTTCTAAGTGCAGAGATTCTGTCATGTCCAGGAGACTCTGTGTAGCACCTGTGAAGACTTCCCCACCAGTACGCTTGCAGGCTGGATCACTCTGGTATTTGTGAGTTCATTCACAATTTCCTGCATTAGTAAGGTTCGGTGCTTTCCTGAGTCTCATGCCTCTGTTGCTTTCTCTTTCCCTTTAATTTCAATTTCCTGGCTTCCATCTTAACAGATTGTCTGAGGTTCATTGGAGGTGCTAATGGTTTACAGGAGCAAATGACCTTGAACCTCATCCTGCCTCCAGGTGGTATTTCCTTTGAGGGCTATAATTTTCTTATCATTCTTGATGGCTCGGACTTTCATGCCCACGTACATTTTCCCCTGGAATTCTACTCCATTTCCTCCTAGCCCTAGACTCAGACTGAACCATCAGATTAGAGCAAGGCATTTGCTACAATCTGCGCTCACACAAAGCAGGGAGGGTCTGGGACAGTGCGTGCGATATTGGTGAGATGCTCGTCTGTCCTTTCTGGATGCACCGATTACAGACACTGTGAGTCATCAGCTAGAGCTTCCACCGAGCTCCCGCCTGAGCCTCAGCCGCCCGTTTCTTTTCCAGCCCATCGCAGCTCATGTTCCCTTCAGCTTTCTCCTCTTAACCTTAGCTGTTTGGATCTCTGACTTCCTTTGCACTGATGATTATAATTGGGGTACTGTTCTCCGACATTCAGATGTACCTGACACGACACAGACTCTCTAAGGGTTCATTTTCCTCACCGCGTTTATTTATAGCTGAGGTTTGACGTTACCTGAGATCAAGCTTTTTTTTCCCCCCTCCTCTTGCAAAAGTAGACGTTCAGTTTTTGTTCTCTATGGAAGGAAGTAGGACAGACATCAAGGCTCAGTATTTTTGCAGTACATCAGAACATTCTTTGAGAGCCTGATTCACAGCCTTTCAAGTAGACCAGATTTCCTCACCGCAGTCAGTTCTATGAAAATGCCAGAAAGCAAGAGCTAGGATAACTCAAACACACAAGCAGCCAAATTTAGCTTGACATCTTATTAAATATTGACCTCTTGGGAATTGAGACTGAAAACAGGCTTTGAGAGAGAAGCCGGCCTGCACATTAACCATCTTCTTTTGTTTATTTTCCTTGTTACAGTCCTTTAGTTGTTTAAACAATATTTTGAAAACAAGGTAAACCTCAGACTCAAATGATATCCATTTTAACACATGGCTTTGACCAAAGGGAACTAATCAGATAGATAATATAATCATTGCTAATTCCCTGTGTATCTTTGATTTGTATACTGTGAAACACTTTACTGCTGTTGACTTGCTGCTTTCCCTTACTTTCCTTCTGTGGTCTGTGGGTTGTGTTGTTTTGTTTTGATTTGTTTTCTCTCTCTCTCTGCTTTCCTGAGAGTCTAAGCAATAGAATATCTGAAGTCACCCACTTGTTTTGACAGAGTTAAGAAAAGATCCAGCAACTGGGAGCCGTGTCACACTTAGTCACCTGACAGCTGTTCCAAGGGGAACACAAGAAGTAGCCTCACTCTTGCCTCTGCCTTCTCCCACAAGCAAGCAGCAAGCAAACGCTTCTCTCTCATCTGACATTAAACCTGAGGCACATCATTGGATTTTTAGTTGTTTCCTCCACGGTTCACCATCTTCAGCTTCTTGACTACCTAAAAAAGGAATTTAAACCAAGGATACTCAGATTCTCCTCTCTGTTTCTCTCTGTCTCTGCCTGTCTCCTCTCTCTCCCCCTCACAGACTGTGTGTGTGTGTGTGTGTGTGTGTGTGTGTGTGTGTGTGTGTGTGCGTGCATTTTGGTATGTTTCCTTGAGTCTCATATGACAATGGAACATAAGAAAACAAAACCTGTAGTGATTTGTAATGTTTTCTTCATGTGAGGGGTGTCACACTAATGCAGTAGATTCTAGGTCATAGTGAGACTGTTTGTTGTTTGTTTGTCTTGCTTTGTTTTTTGGCAACGTTTCATTAATTGTCCTAAAGGTAGCCACATATGATCCATTCTCTTCCTTAAAAGATTCTGAGATACACAACCGCTGCTCATCAACATGACTGTACACACCTACACTTTGCTGTTTCTTCCTCTTTTTATGTTCTGCTTCACCTTCTGAGAGTTAGAGCCAGCAGTGGAGAATTATCAGCTTCTGAGAGTTCAAGCCAAAAATGGAGAATCTTCAGCTCTGAGAGTTCGAGCCAGCTGTGGAGAATCTTGTTTTTATTGCACTTACTCCAGAGCTCTCTGAAATGAATGTGTTAGAAGCATTCAATTAAGTCCCTCTTTTAGTCAAACTTTTAGGTTTCTCTAATCTCTAAATATCCACCACTGTTCTAGCTCTCTTCATGGTTGCTGTGAGAGCTCTGGATTCACATTAGATCCCTAAAGATTAGAATAAGGCAAACAGATGGCTGCTTTTATTTGTCTTGTATATATGGCAGAGCTGCTCGCCACCTCTGAGAGCCGTGCACAATGCCCATCTCTAGGCACACAGCTGGTCCATGTTGTCACCAAGCAAGCCATAACACATTGCTCACAAACCCCATTCAAATTCTTAGTATGCTGAAAGAGCCAGAGGTCACACTGGCAGCACAGCCCAGAAAGCTGGCATTTCAAAGTGGCCATGGCTGTTTTTTTTTCCTGCTACCACTG